GTTCAGCCAAGCAATCAATGCGAGCCACTTGCCTTTCACAATTGGTGCCATTAGTGGTGAAATTCGTGTCACAAAGCCCCTGGATTTTGAGAGCAAAGAGAAACATGAGCTCCGAGTACGAGCAACTGATGGTGGAGGCCTCTCAGCACTCTGCAAGGTGTTGGTGGAGGTGGTGGATGTGAACGACAATGCACCAGAAGTGGTGATCAGTTCCTTCAGAAACCCCCTACCCGAGAACACAGAGCCTGGGACAGTGGTAGCTGTATTTGCTGTCAGAGACAGGGATTCCAGTGTGAATGGGGAGATCAGCTGTGCCCTTGAAGACCAGCTCTCCTTCTCCCTGAGACCAGCCTATAAGAATTACTATGAGTTAGTGACAGTGAGCACGTTGGATCGGGAGGAGACAGCTCAGTACCTTGTGGTCATCACAGCAGCAGACGCAGGATCTCCTCCTCTCACCACCACGCAGACTTTAACTGTGGACATCTCCGATGTCAATGACAATGTCCCTGTCTTCAACCAGACATCGTACACCATGTTTGTGCGAGAGAACAATATCCCTGGAGTGCTTGTTGGGGCTGTCAGTGCAGTGGACTCAGACGCAGGACCCAATGCCAAGGTGACCTATTCCCTGAGGCCTGTATATCCTGCAGAGCGGGACCCCTGCTCCTGCATCTCCGTGAACTCAGAGAACGGACATGTGTTTGTGCTGCGTCCACTGGACTATGAGCAGGTGAGGCAGCTTGAGGTGCTGGTGAGTGCCACTGATGCGGGGTCCCCTCCCCTCAGCACCAATGTCACCGTCCGCCTCCTCGTGGTGGACGAGAACGATAATGCCCCACTGGTGTTGCACCCTGCTCAGGACAGCAGCCCGCCATCCAGTGAGCTGGTGCCAGCGTCGGCTGAGGTGGGGGACCTGGTCACCAAAGTGGTGGCGGTTGATGCGGACTCTGGTCAGAACTCGTGGCTTTCCTTCCATTTGCTGAGGGCCACAGACCCCGGGCTGTTTGCTGTGGGTAGCCAAAATGGGGAGGTGCGTCTGAGGAGGCCAGTGACAGAAAGGGATGCCGTGAAGCAGAAGCTCGAGGTGCTGGTGCGTGACAATGGGCAGCCACCTCTGTCGGCCACTGCAGCGCTGAATGTACTCCTGCTCAACGGCCTCTCACAGGAACACCTGCCACAGCAGGAGCTGGCTGTGCAGGATGAAGACAGCTCCCTGACAATCTATTTAATCGTTTCACTGGTCTTTGTCTCCCTCCTCTTCCTCACATCTGTCACAGCTTTTGTTGCTTGCAAGGTGTGCAAGAGAAAGGAGCTGAAAGGAGGGCACATGCTATATGGTACAGGAAACTTGCCTAGCAGTCTTGCTGCTGGGGCTGCTGCTGGGACCCTTCCCCACGCCTATTGCTATGAGATCAACCTCACCACGGGGTCGGGCAACAGCGAGTTCAAGTTCCTGAAGCCCATCCTCCCCAGCCTGCCACCACAGCACTCTGACAGAGGCAGGGGTGTTGCTGACACAGAGGATTTCCCTCCCATCCCGAACTCCATGGGGGATGCAGCCCTGGACATCTCTGGTACACCACCTGTTGGACACTTTAATGGCCTTCCCTTTAACTAGGTCTGAGTCCACGCAGTGAAAGGCTTCATGCCTTGGAGGTGGAAGGGATCTGGCTAAAGGTATTCTGTCTTGTTTCCTAGAGATTAAAACTGCATTCGTAATTGGCTTCACTAGTGACTCTCTAACACTAAGTCAGATGTATGTTTTTCTTCCCCCCCCCAAAAAGATTAGGAATAAAGTAATGTAAGAGAACCAAGGCTTTTTGCTCATGCAATGATGTTTCAGCTCTGATACTGAGTTCTCCAAAGTGCTTCATGAGCAAGGTTTGGTCCTGGCTCTCTGGCTAAATACTTGTCATTCGGAAAAACCTTGACAATCACCCTGTCACCCTGAAACAAAATGTTGAGATTCTGCAAATGACAGGGTAGTATAGCCCTCCTCCCTTGTCTGCAGGGAAGAAAGGATTTCTCCGAGTGTATCACTGCAGTGCAAGTGCTACTCTCTTTCTTTGCTGAGTCCTGAATCTCTCTGTGTGAGTCTTGTTGGCACCATGTGTTTTTGCAGTGTGTGGTCTTCCACCTTGGTTGACATGAACCATGTATTTTACTGGGTTGTGCCATCTCATCTTCTCCAGGACACAGCAAATACATGCAGAGCCAGACTTCGTAGTGGTCCATTTTCTTGGGAGTGACTCAAAACTATTGCAGGACTAATGATTCCAACAGACACTAATTATACATAGCTTTGACCTTGATCATTGTGTTTGGGTGGATGGAAGGCATCTTGATACATTGCTTCAGAGGATGTTTGTGTACAAGGCGGAAGGTAGACTTTAAAAAGTAATATCCTTTTTTGTGTCATTGTTTTCATTCTTGCTTGAAGGGGTTCCTCAATGAAAGGGAAGTGCTATCATTGACAGCTCCCTGACAATCTATTTAATCGTTTCACTGGTCTTTGTCTCTCTCCTCTTCCTTACATCTGTTGCAGCCTTTGTTGCATGCAAGTTGTTCAAGAGAAAGGAGCTGAAAGGAGGGCACATGCTGTATGGCACAGGCAACTTGCAGAGCAGTCTTGCTGCTGGGGCTGCTGCTGGGACCCTGCCCTATGCCCATTGCTACGAGACCAACTTCACCACGGGGTCAGGCAACAGTGAGTTCAAGTTCCTGAAGCCCATCCTCCCCAGCGTGCCACCACAGCACTCTGGCACAGGCAGGGGTGTTGGTGACACAGAGGATTCCTTGTCAGTCCTAAACTCCATGGTGGATGTGGTCCTGGAGAGCCCTGGGACAGAATCTGTGGGACAGTTCAATGCATTTTCCTTTGACTAGCTGCAAGTCAAACCCAGCCAAAGGCTGCATGCCTTGGAGGTGGAAGGGATCTGCCTTATGAAATGCAGTCTTGTTTCCAGGAAATAAATCTGATCTTATAATTGGATGCACGAATAGCCACCTAACACTAAGTCAATCCCAAGCAGATGGACCACTGAAAAATCTGATTCTCTACACATTTTCACTATGCCCTAGAGAAGATGAGACAGCAAAACTCAATACAAAACATGCTTCTTGCCAAATAAGGTGGAAGACCACACAGTGAAAAAACACATAGTGATGACATGTCTCGCACAGAATGATCTGAGACACAGCAAATAAAGAGAGTAGCACTTGCACTGCAGTGATACACAGGGCTAATGCCTTTCTTCCCTGCATACAAGGGAGGAGGGCTATAATGCATTGCCATCTGCCCAACCTAAAAATTGCGTTTCAGCCCAGAATAAAACAGGTTGTGATCTGAGGTCTTTCTAATGACAAGCACTTAGCCAAGGAGACTGAATCAAATCTTACTAATGGAGCACTTCAGAAAAGCCAATATCAGAGCTGAAATATATCATTGCCTGAAGAAGAAAGGTCTTATTTATTTATTTATTTCTATTATTTTTAGACGGGTGAAGAGAAACATACATCTGACTTAGTGCAAAAACATGCAGAGCCAGACTTTGCAGTGGTCCATGTTCTTGGGAGTGACTCAAAACTATAGCAGCACTAAAATTCCACCATAGACTCTAATTATACAAAGCTTTGACTTTGATCATTGTGTTTGCATGGATAGCAAGGCATCCTGACACATTGCCTCAGAGGACCTTTGTCTACAGGTAGAACCAAGATAGATTTTAAAAGTAGAATGCAGGTGGTTGTTGTTTTCATTCCTGCTTGCTGGGATTCCTCAATGAGAGTAGTGAGCTATCTTGGTATGGTTTTCCAGGTTTTTGTTAGAATGCTTACATTTGCCTTTTTTTTTCCTTTCTCCTTTGGCTGTATGTTTAAGCATTGTCTACCAATTCACCTGAAGAAGGACTGACACACAACTTATAACAATGGGTTGTTGGAAAGAAGGTGTTCTGGGACTGGATACATAAACACTCTCATGTTCTGTTGTGCTGCATTATATACTGTATCATTTTTAATCCAGGATACCCTTGTCTGTAAAAGTGAAATGGAATGAGTTTCCAAGTGCCATTCTGGCAATAAAAAGGATGTTGTTGTGGAGAAAGTCTTTGTGGTAATGTTCTTATCAGGAAATCTCTGTAAAGGATCCATTTTTTTTTCCAACTCTAGGTTCTTTTTTCTTTTTTTCTTTTAATAAATTTTTTCCTTGATTGAGGAATTGTTTTGCAGTCATGTGTCCTCTACCTGGAGATGTGGCCACCAGTGTCTGAAAGAGTAGGCACTGGGGATTTGCAGGCAGGCCTCTTGTGGTCTTTGTTAGCACTGAGATTACTCATACTATATTACTCATATTTTTATTGAGACAATTACTCATACTATATTACTCGTACTCCTAACAAAGGGAGATGAGATTACTCATATTCATCTCTTCTTATCATCTTCACTCTATTCACTGGAATTGTGATTGACACCTCACAGAGTCTTAGCGTCTTTCTTACTGGCATTGCAACGAACCAGCACGTCCTGCTGTAAAACTGCTGATTCTCAGTTGTTCTAAGCCAAACATCAGCATGTCTGAGTCAATTCAGAAGGTCTTCTGATAGCTTAAATGCTATAACAATGGAGATTGTTGCCTAGGGGGCCCTAAGAGGTGCCATTTAGAAAGCAATGCACTGAGCAGGACTTGTCAGAAGGAGGCAGAAGGCGAAGGCCAGGTTCTGGTACTTCAGCGCTGTCTCCACCCACAATCAGTCCTACAGACCGCTGCCTCCTTTAAACAGTGTGTTCTGGGGTGCAGTAACTCGTTTCTGTTGTGGAAACAAAGAATTGTGGCTGACAGGGTGGGACGACAGTACACACAAAAAGCATTTTCCTCTTCTAATTGGCCATGTTTTTTATTACAAGCTTCTCTGCCCAGGTTCTTGTTGCCGTTAAGTACAGATCTTGCCAGGCACTTCAATCTCCCCGCGAGGTCTTCAGTGCTCCGAGATGGTTTCATGGCGATTAGGGTGAGACTTGCTATCATGATGGCACAGCTGTTCGGTGTGTGTCAGGCCTTATTTCAAGAGCAGCAGGCGAGTTGCCGCGGACCTGCCGCGCGACCGAACAAGGGATACTGGAGGCACAAGGCTGCAGTTGTTGCGTGAGGCTGGGGGTGTCGCTGTTGGTTAACGCTGGGCTACAAGGTCTGAGGCAAAAGGGGCGCGGGGTCAGTGAGCGCGGAAAGGCTGTTCGGGACGAGGCTCGGCGGGAGGAATGCAGAGAACGCGGGGACACGCAGGAAAGCTCCGGACCTGAAAGGGAGAACATGACCCGGAGCACGGTCTGGGAAATGACGGGGAGAAAAGGGTGCTGAAGACAGAGGCAGCGAGCGCAGCTGTGTTGCGTGTTGGTGGCGACGTGGGAGGCGGCGTGGGGGCAGCTGCGCTACTCGGTGCCCGAGGAGCTGCCCAAGTGGGACGCGGACTGGGGGCAGAACGCGCGCGTGCGCTACCGGCTGGCGGAGGGGCGCGTGCGGGGCGCGCCGCTGTCGTCCTACGTGTCGGTGCAGGCGGAGACGGGCGCGCTGTACGCGCTGCGCTCGTTCGACTACGAGGAGGTGCGCGAGGTGGAGATGTGCGCGGCGAGAGAAGGGCGGTGGGGCCGGAGGCAGCGAGCGCTGCTGTGCTGCGTGTTGGTGGCAGCGTGGGAGGCGGCGTGGGGACAGCTGCGCTACTCGGTGCCCGAGGAGCTGCCCAAGGGCTCTTTCGTGGGCGACGTGGCCAAGGACCTGGCGCTGCAGCTGGCGGCGCTCCGCGATCGCGGCGCCCGAGTGGTGTCGGCAGATAGGACGCAATATTTTGCTCTGCATGCGAACAGCGGCCACCTGGTGACGGCAGAGAGGCTAGATAGAGAGCAGCTGTGCCGGCTGGTGGAGCGATGTGTGCTGCGCTGTGAGGTGATCGTGGAGGGTGAGATGAAGGTCTACGGTATCGAAGTGGAAATCACGGATATTAACGACAATGCCCCCAGCTTCCGAGAGTCCGAACCGGAACTGAGAATAAGCGAGATGACTGCTCCTGGGTCGCGCTTTCCCCTGGCCGAGGCTCGCGACCCGGACGTGGGAGTGAATTCCCTGCAGAGCTACGAGCTGAGCGGCGACGAGCACTTCTCGCTGTCCGTGCAGGCGGGAGCCGACGGCGAGAAGCGTCCCGAGCTGGTGCTGGCCAAGGCGCTGGACCGGGAGGAGGCGGCGTTTCACGAGCTGGTGCTGAGGGCGATCGACGGCGGCGAGCCGGCACGGACGGGCATGGCGCGCATCCGCGTGTCTGTGCTGGACGCCAACGACAACGCGCCCGTGTTCAGCCAGGCGGTGTACGCGGTGCGCGTGCCCGAGGACGTGCCTGTGAGCTCTACCCTGCTCACACTCACGGCCACTGACGCCGACGAGGGAATCAACGCGAATGTGAAATACTCCGTTAAGAAAGCGACAGACCTAGCATCGGAAATTTTCTACCTGGATCCCGAAACAGGGATTGATCAGGCTGGTGAGGAGCCTGGACTTCGAGGAAGGCGACTCCTATGATCTCCAAGTGATGGCACGGGACGGCGGTGGCCTATCCGACACGGCTACGGTCTCGATCTCGGTGACCGACGTGAATGACTACGCGCCCGAGATTTCGGTGCGGTCGGCGCTGAGCGAGATCTCGGAAGACGCGCCGGCCGGGACGGTGGTGGCCCTGCTGCACGTGCAGGACCGCGACTCGGGCACCAACGGTGAGGTGCGGTGCAGCATTGCGGAGAGCCTCCCATTCCGCCTGGAGCGGGCGCTGGACAATTACTACAGCGTGGTGACGTCGCGGGAGCTGGACCGGGAGGAGGTGTCGGAGTACAACGTGACGGTGTGGGCGTCGGACGGCGGGTCGCCGTCGCTGCGGAGCAGCGCGGTGCTGGTGCTGCGCGTGCTGGACGTGAACGACAACGCGCCGGTGTTCGCGGAGGCGCGCTACAGCGCCCGTCTGCCCGAGAACAACGCCGAGGGCGCGCTGGTGCTGACGGTGCGGGCGTGGGACGCGGACTGGGGGCAGAACGCGCGCGTGCGCTACCGGCTGGCGGAGGGGCGCGTGCGGGGCGCGCCGCTGTCGTCCTACGTGTCGGTGCAGGCGGAGACGGGCGCGCTGTACGCGCTGCGCTCGTTCGACTACGAGGAGGTGCGCGAGGTGGGGCTGTGGGTGCGGGCGGAGGACGGCGGCGCGCCGGCGCTGAGCAGCAACGTGTCGGTGCGGCTGCTGACCGTGGACGAGAACGACAACGCGCCGCAGGTGCTGTACCCGCCGGCGGCGGCGGCGGCGGGCGCGGGCTGGACGGGCGTGGAGCTGGCGCCGCGCTCGGCGGAGCCCGGCGCGCTGGTGGCCAAGGTGGTGGCGGTGGACGCGGACTTCGTGGGCATCGACGGCGTCCGCGCCTTCCTGCACTCCTACTCGCACGAGGTGTCGCTCACCGCCAACTCGCGCAAGAGCCAGCGGCGCTGGGCGGCCGACAGCTGCTGCAACACCCTTCCGGCCCGGCTGTCTTCGGAGGTTTCACTTGCTCTCTCTTCTATTGAAGATCACTTTGTCGAGTATGGAGGCTGATTCCTCTCAGGTATTTTCGTTTTCTTAACGTGTTTTTTTTTTTTTTTTTTTTGTGCGCTGTTTTTTTTGTTTGTGTGTGTGTTTGTTTTCTACTTTGTTGTTTCTTTTTGTTTGTTTGCTTTCTTTGTAATCGTTTTTGGTTGGTTGGTTTTGTGTTTTTCATTTTCATTTCACCTTTTTACTGCACTTTTAAAGTGGAGGTGACTTGAGATCGGGTATTTTCCCTGTTATAAACTCGTTGCTTAGGGCACTCGGGGACATGGCAAAATACAGAAAGAGCAGTGTTGGACATGAAATGTTGAGGATACCTCCTCATTCTCTCCTGTTTTGTTTTTTTTTTTTTTTTTTTTGTGTGTGTGTGTGTGTTTTTTTTTATATGTGATAGCTTCTGTACAGTTTGTCAAATCCATCATATCATATCTTTCTCTAAAGCTGAAAGGTTCTATTGCTTGTGCAGCTGCACTAGGAAATTTCTTTCTCTAATTGTTTTTCAAATTCTCTCTGTAAAATTTTATAGTACTTTACAGTACCTAGTTCCCAGAATTTTTTTTGCCATTCCCAGTATAAATTCTCAAGTATTAATAGAATTGGGCAACTCTTTAACTTGTAGCCAGAAAGCCATCACTTCTGAAGTCCCATGTGACTTGGAACTAATCTGGACTGAGCAAATTAATCAGTCCCACCAAAGGACCTTCATAAATATGCATGCTACTTGGTAAAAACTAAATGTCTTTTAATGCCCTTCGATGTGTTTCCCACTGATGGGCTTCTAGAGTTAACTTTTGAGTTTGATAGAAATGTAATTATTGATTTGTATGTATGTGATGTATGTGTAAATGTCAAGATGCAGAGAATATATGTACTTGCATACAAATGGAAAACATTATAAAATAAAGTGTAATTTATCGTACTATGTTTGCTTTCCTTATAACATTATTGTGGTTTAATCTGGTAGGGAGCAAAATACCACAGAGACACTTGCTCATTTTCCCCAGGTGAGACTGTTGAGAGAATCAGAAAAGTAAAAGTGTGAGAACTCATAGGTTGAAATAAAGATATTTTACTGGATAAAGCAAAAGCCATGCACACAAGCAAAGCAAAACAAGGAATTCATGCATTACTTCCCATCATTAGACAGGTGTTCATTCATCTCCAGGAAAGCAGAGCTCATCATGCGTAACAGTTTCTTGGCAAGACCAACACCTTCACTTGGAACATCGTCCTCCCCTCCCCCTTTTTCTTTATCCAAGATTTTATTGCTGACCACGACATCATATGGTATGGAGTAACTCTTTAGTCAGCTTCTATCAGCTGTCCTGGCTGTGTCCTCTCACAGATTCTGATGCTACCCCCAGCCTCCTCACTTGCAGGGCAACATAAGAAGTAGAAAAATCCTTGGCTCTGTGTAAACACTGCTCTGCAACAACTGAAAACAGAGGTGTATTATCACCACTATGTTCATAAAAACTCCAAAACACAGCATCATGTGAGCATCTACAAAGAATATTATCTCTATCACAATCAAAACCATGACAAACATTAAAACACTTTTTTTCCTACCAAACATGCTATTCTTTTCTGAGGACACATCTACAAAAGAGGCTGTCTTGGAAACTACCTTTCCTTACTTCCTTTGCTACTGATCATTCATAATGGGTTTAACAAGCTTTTAGGACTTCAGAAATATTTTTAATGAATAAAATAATATCACTCTATTTTTATTATTGTTATGCCATTTAAACTGCTGGTATATCGTAGGATTTCAGTTTAAGCAAAATAAGTGAAGCATAAAAACTTGTGCTTCTAAGTCCAGAACAGAGTTGCTGAGAGAAAATTGTTCTGTAAAATTACCTGTGAAGGTTCACAAAGATCTTCCCTTCCCTTTCCTCTTTCCCCTTCCCTTTCCCCTCCCCTTTCCCCTTCCCTCCCTTTCCCTTTCCCTTCCCTTTCCTTTCCCTTTCCCTTTCCCTTTCCCTTTCCTTTCCTTCCCTTTCCCTTTCCCTCTCTCTCTTTTTGTTCCTCGTTCCTCTCCTCTCCTCTCCTCTCCTCTCCTCTCTCTCCTCTCCTCTCCTCCTCTCCTCTCCTCTCCTCTCCTCTCTCTCCTCTCCTCTCCTCTCCTCTCCTCTCTCTCCTCTCCTCTCCTCTCCCTCCTCTCCTCTCCTCTCCTCTCCTCTCCTCTCCTCTCCTCTCCTCTCCTCTCCTCTCCTCTCCTCTCCTCTCCTCTCCAACTTCATGCATCCCAAGGACTAAGTGTGTGGCTGTTACCCTCTAGTGGGTTTACATGGCAAGGTTTTGGTAGCAGGGACTATAGGGGTGGCTTCTGTGAGAAGAATCTAGAAGCTGCCCCTTGTAAGGTAAGGACCCTGCTGCTGACCAGAGCTGACACAATGGGCGATGTTGTTTGCGGCTCTGTGAGAGCATATATAAGAAAAGAGAAAACACACACACACAAAACAAACCAAAAACAAACAAACAAACAAACAAACAAACAAAAGAAAACACTGCTTCACACAGCAGCTGGGAGAGTGAGAGGAGTGAGAAGCAGCCTTGCAGGTGCCAATGTCAGTGCAGAAGGAGCACTGACATTCTGCTCCAGGTGCCAGAGCAGAAGTCCCCTGTGGCCTGTGGTGAAGACCATGGTGAAGCAGGCTGTCCCACTGCAGCCCATGGGGTACCACGATGGAGCAGGATTCCATGCTGCAGCCCGTGGAGTAGGTGGACCTACACTGGTGGAGGCTGCGGCCTGTGGAAGACCCCTACTGGAGCAGATTCCAGGCTGGACCTGGAGAGGAGCCCACGCAGCAGTAGGTGACCTGGCAGGAGCTGCTGCCTGTGGGGGACCCAGGTTGGAGCAGTTTTCTCCTGATGGATAGACCCTGTGGTACAGACCCATATCTGGAGCAGTTCTTGAAGAGCTACTGCTTGTGGGAAGCCTATGACAGATCAGTTTGGGAAGGACAGCATCCCATGGGAGGGACCCCATGGCACAGGGAATGAGAGTGACCGAGAGGGAGTGGCGGAGATCAAGTGCCATAGACTGACCGCAGCCCCCATTCCCCCATTCCCGTGCACCATGCAGGGGGAGGAGGTGGAAGAGGGTGGATGAGGGGAAGACATTTTTGGTTTCTTTCCTTTGTTTCTTACTTCTCTAGCTTGTTAGTAAAAGGCAATAAAACTTACTATCTCCCTATGCTGAGTCTGTTTTGCCCATCTCGATAATTGTTGAGTGATGTCCCTGTCCTTATCTCAACCCTTGAACCCTTTGCATTGTATTTTCTCCCCCTTTCTCTTTGAGGAGGGGGAGGGAGAGAGCAGCTGAGGTGGAACTCAGCCACCCACCTGAGTAAAACCACCAAATATCCTTTTCATCTGCCACCCATTAGACACAAAATCATATGTGATATGGATGTGGGAAGAAAATGTTTCCCTTTCTGATGCAGACTTGTTTTTATCTATGTCTTCGTGGAATAGATCTGTGCTCTGGTATTCAAAGAGAATGAGAAAATCTTGGAATTAGGAGAAAAACAATCTCCACTGGAAATGTAGATATTCTGAAGGGTGCTTCAGCATGGAGAATGAATACATCTGGGTTGTGATAGGCACCATATAAGAGGCAGTGAATTGACCAAGACTTTTTATCAGTCCCCAGGTCCCTATATACGTATCCAAATCCTTCCCACATTCTATCCAGGACTTGGAATACAGATGTCCATGTCTGCTATCACTTAACTCCTGAAATACTATGAATTAAAAAGTGTTATATTATGAAAGCTTATTAATTTGTTACTGTGACTTTTGTATAAGTGTAGCTTGGAGGAAAAGAAATTATCCTCTTTTGGATACCTGGCCAGAGTTAGCAGAAAAATACATTTTCTAGCTACACCTTATTGAGAAGGGAAGGAGATATTCACATCAATATCTAGAGAGTCAACGTTGGTATACATGTGGGAGCTACTTCACTGGTTAAGGTACTGTGGAGAGTTTTCTAATCTTTTCATGTCTTCTGCTTAATGTGCTGTGGTGATACAGCCTTTCTTCAGGTCTTTTTTTTCTCTGTAGAGAGAAACATTTTAATGTTCAGGTGAGATACAATACCTTT